ACTTCTGGGAAGTAGAGCTTAATTCTTCTTTCCTTGAGTGTGAGTTGGATTTAAAGAAGAGAGTCTCCAAAGGGGAAAGTAGTAATTTTTCATGGGAGAAACCGACAGACATAATTTTAACAGTGACTAAGGTTAACATCAGCAAATAAGTCATATTGATATAATGTATTATTCTCTGATATGATAAGATAGTAACTCTCAGTAAACATGAGAGAACATTAGTCAAACTCAAACTGAAGGATACTCTATAAGATACCTGACTTGTATTCTTCAAAAGAGGCTATGTCCTGCTGTCAATGAACCAATAGTGTAGTTGGTGAGGTAATATTAACACTGATAAAACTGAAGAGTAACAAAAAGACAATTTAGAATGAAGCGCTAAGTGGAATATGATAGTTTGCTAGGGTATAAGAAAAAAAGTAGAATTGAATGCTGGTGAGACTTAGGTGGGAGCTAGATAGATAGATTGACCTTGGAGAGATAGAGACAAGAAGAGAAGATATGTAACTCAAGGGAAGGAGCATGAGGCAAATCATTTTATATATTTGGATGGGAAGGAGACTGCCCTGGCTGCATAGAAAGTATGTTAGAAATTATCTTAGTTCACATGCTAGAACGATGTCAAAGTCTCTTTTACAGAAGCCTATTTACATGTTTTTGTTAATTTAGAAATGTTTATAATTAAAGAAAATATACAAAAAAATAAAGTACATTAGAAATTGTCCCAAGCAAAGTTCGTATTGCTAGAATTATGTCAAAATTGGGTTTTAATACATTCTAATCTATTTTTCTTAACTGCAAAATATGTTATTGAAGAAGAAAAAGAAAGTACATGTGTGAGAGAAAAGGTTGGTTGGGTAAATCCAGATCAGATTATAGGAATCTTGAAATTGAGGGTAAATGGAATTGGCCCTGTAGGAAAAAAGAGGTTATTATATCTTATTTTACTCCATTGCAGAAGGGAAGGACACATTTTTAACAGAGGGCTTCCATGACACTTGGTCTCTCCTATCTTCCCTTTCCAAATCACTAGACACACTCATCCCCTCCCTCTAACTAAACTGTGTTATAATAACTGCATTTGTCAAGGTTTGAGTTACAAAGCATGCTTAAAAGACAGATATTAAAATTGGATTATTAATTAGATTCTTACATTGCAAGGTTTATAAAGTAAAAGGTCTTAAAATTTGCTTGATTATTTTTATATCACTCTTCTTACTTTTGTAGAATAAGAACAGGCTACTATTTTATAATATTAATTTATTTACTCATTGAGTAGGCTTCCAGTTTCAGGTTTCCATTTGACACTGAAGCTGGGAAGATTAATGGGTCCCAGGTGTAATTGTCAAATTACTTACTACTGATCTCTTGTCACTTCGGCAGCAGTAGCCAAAAGCAGTTTTTAGAGACTTTTAGGGCCAAGAAAAGCCTTCATTCTAACTTCATCTTTGGCATTTCACAATTTGTCTGCCAATAACTTTAGAAGGATTTGATATAATTTAATATTGTACTAAAAAGTGTCAGTAATGACCTGAAGTTTTATGTATTTGTATTTATTTATGAAGTTTTATTTACAATTATTTTATTCTGCCTTTTGAAATAAAAATGGATGCATTTCTGTAATACCATTGAAATTTTGTACTCAGTCTCTGAGTATGAGCTGCAGTTCACCATATCCCAATAAATTTGAATCTGTGTCTTACAAGGATTTAGTCACCATATCTAGTCACAGTGTGTAGTCATTGTGGCCATGTGCATACTGCTAGAAGTGGTAGAGACCAAGAAATATTGGTCCATTACTTGTGGAGGTAGTTTAATTAATTTAGTGAATCAGAAATGCCAGTAAATAAACCTTTTAGTGCTGACCACATTTATATAATTTACCACTTGGGCATTGGGGAAAAAGATAATTCATCAATTTTTCTGTATAATGCAACTGTACTACTGTTGCCAATACCAAATTTTTAATTCTTCTGCCAAATTCATTTTAATTATCTCTCCTGTTAGCCCAATCCCTACTGATGGGATAGGGACCTAGTGGAAGAAAAGCAGTTTCTTTCAAAAAGTTTCCTGGTTTTGCTTAGCCTGCTGGTCACATGGTCTGGATTCCTATAGTCAGGAGTCTCTTCTTAGAATTCTTCATCAAAATGGATTAGATGTTAAGAATCTTAATTTGGGTGCTTCTTAGTGTCTTAATCATGCTTTCAGCGATCTCAGTCTATAAGACAGTAGATTGGAACTCTGAGCTCTGTGTGTGCATGTGTGTGTGAGAGAAAGAGGGAGACAGAGAGAGAGAGACTGAGAGAATGAATATGAGAATGAGAGAATTTGGTGTTTCATTCCCTGAACTTGTCCATCAGTGATCATTAGGCAAAGTATATACATATTTCTTGACTATTGATTAGTACTGTTCAAGGTTTAGATACCTCATACAAGTTTGTTATTTTATCCTTTCACTTTCATTATCTGATTGAGTTGAGTTCAATCCCATTCAGTTTTGTTCACTTTGGTATGGTAAAAGACAGTGTAATTTTGCTCAATTCAGTAATTGTTTTTTAACATGTAAGCCAGACTTAGTGCTAGATATCGGGGAACCCAAGGGAACACACATCTGCCTTTTCCCTGAAATGGAAAATTTTACCTGTACTTCAAAGCTCTGCTCAAATTCCATATTTCATTAAACCTTCTGCTAAGTCAGTCCCCATTAATCTTTCCCTCTTTTCTCTGAATTTTTTAAAAAAATTCTTCCCGAATATGCAGTCTAATTTATTCCAAGTACCCAGATGGACTTAAACAGGTCATTTTTGTCCTTAGGAATTTACAATAAAAATACACTGCTGTTGTTACACACACAAAAACTCAGACATAACCATCATCACACTGCATGGAACAGACACATTAAGTCAAACAGAGTATGTTATTTACAAAGCTAAATATATGTGTTTTGGTTTCGTGTAGCAAATGATGAGGAGCGAAATATATATGCTGTGTATTTAGAAAAGATGGGTGCATGTATGTATCTCTATGTTTGTGTTGAAGGAATTAGAGGTTAAACCAGTACCTTATTTTCACTCAGTTTGGAATGTGAAGTTAGAAAGCTGTTAGAAAACTGAAAATTGCCCAGATTTGGGACAATATCTCTTAAATACTATGAAAGAATAAATGTTTTGCTGCAGCTCAATAATAATAATAATAACACAACAATAATAATAATGCTTATTATTGAATGCTTATTATGTGCCAGGTACTGTTTTAAGCAATTTGCCTGCATTAATACATTAATCCTTCCATCAATTCTATGAAGAAAGTACTGTTAACCCCATTTGACAGATTGAAAAACCAAGGCACAGAGTGGTTAAGTAACTTGCCCAAGACTACCCAGCTAATGAGTTGTGCTTCAGGGACCCAGGGATGTCAGTCATTAAACCTTCAGGCTTAAATGGAGCCTCTGCTATGAAGTATTAAATAGTTGATAGGACCAGGATTAGATCCCATTCCTGTACTCTTCTCCTTGCTTAGATAAGAGAGAGATCTAATCTTTTAATCATGCATTGTCTGATTTACTCATTCATTTGTTTGGCTCCAAAAGCCCTAAACCAAGCATTGTGGAGCATTGAAAAAATGTGTGCCATAGGCATTCCCATGAATATTGTCTCATGAACATATTCAAAGGTCTTGTGGGTTATGACACAAAATAGTTGTTAGGTAAAACGGAGAACAATAACTGCAGGAAGACACATGAACAATTGAAAGAAATGATTATCAAATTTTAGGACATATTGAAGGAGTAGAACAACAACTGATTCAATGTAGGATAGGACTTACAGTTTCTCTGGGAAGGAGGTATATTTTGGAATCAGATGCATTGAAAGGAATAATAAGAATGGATCAATGTGTTATTGATGTAAGGGAAATTTCAGGAACAAAGAGAAGAATATTTGAAAAAATTATTGGACAATTTTGAGACTATTTGAAAAAATTATTGGGCAATTTTAGAATTATTTTTTATTTATACACTGAACCATACTCTGACTTATTCTTCCTTGAAGTTCTAAGCCTAGTGAAGTCCTGTGGAGAGAAAAGGGAACTGATAATGGTGAGATTTCAAGAAAGTTTTTTCTTCATACCTCTTTCCCCTATCTTTGTGTTTGAACTGAGATTTTGTTAAATTCAAGTAGAGAACACAGCTATACACACTTAAAACGAAGAAATCAAGGAACAAAGAGGTTATACAGTCTGCAAAATGTTTCAGGGGTTAAGTAACTATACTAGTAAATGGCTGAGCTGTGGTTGAATCCAGGACAGTCTCACTTCACAGTTGGTGATTTTCATTACCCCTCTTACAACATAGCAGCACAGTGTTTCTCATTCCTCTACCAAGTCAGCTTCAAAGGCCTTTCCCCAAGAGAAAAAGGCCGTTATATTAGCTGGAGTCTGATTTGAAAGTTTGCTTGAAAATAGGGCTACATGATAATTAGTGTTGTTTCCCTTGTGATTGTTTTCATCTGGTTTGGGCACTCATCACCTCACACCTGTTCTGTAGCATCTCAGCTGGGTTCCCTGTCTTCAATCTCTCTCCATCTTGTCTGATTAATCTTTCTGAAGCTCCACTTTCCTCCTGTCACTGTCTAGCTAGAAACCTTCTTGGACATCCCCTGTCTGCTAGCTCAAGTTTTTGAGCTTTTCAAGGCTCCCTACAGTAGCCTATCCTCCTTGGCCAGCTGCTTCTCTCCACCTCCCCATAGCAGCCTAAGTTTATTCACAAGCAGGCGATACAGCTTTTTGTTATGCTACTTCTACCCTCTCTGACATTCTTTTCATTTCTAACCCTGTGAATATTCTACCCCATCATCCCTCTGCCACATTCTACCCATTTCTGAATTCTGCCTCTTTCAAAGCCCTGCTTAAGTTTGTCCTCCTTTTCATGATTCTTTACTATCTTAGCTCAAAGTGTTTAATTCATTTATGAAACACTTACTGAGCCTGAGTTTCTAAAATACTTATTATCTAAAAATCACTCTTGTGGCTATTTTCGTATTCTGCTTTATGTTCTCAGTTATTTTTTGTGAATGTTCATGTAGGCTTGGCTCTACTCCTAGATTACAGGTCACTGTAAGAGTAGTGATTGTAACATTTCTGCAGTTTCTACAATCTAGTGAAGTGCCTTTTGTGTAGTAGCTCTTCAGTAAGTACTTGTTGACTGGTTATTTCTCACTTATTTGGTAGCTTAATATGCTAAAGGGAATAAACTCTCTGCCATTTCTAGTTGTTGCTTAATTTCTTCATACTTTTACAGATTTATGCTTTTTATCCATTTTATCATCAATGTAATGCAGGGACATGAATACTCATTAAATAATATGTACATCAAATAAAAAGCGAAAGCTGGCCAGGGGTGGTGGCTCACACCTTTAATCCCAGCATTTTGGGAGGCCGAGGTGGGTGGATCATCTGAGGTCAGGAGTTTGAGAACAGCCTGGGCAACATGGTGAAATCCCGTCTCTACTAAAAATATAAAAATTAGCTGGGCGTATTGGGTGCCTGTAATCCCAGCTACTCGGGAGGCTGAGGTGAGAGAAGTGCTTGAATCTGGGAGGCAGAAGTTGCAGTGAACTGAGATCATGCCATTGCACTCTAACCTGGGCAACAAGAGTGAAACTGTCAAAAAAAAAAAAGTAGAAGCCTCCCTTCATGTTTTATCCCCAACTCTACTCCATAGCCACTTTCAACAGACTTGAAAAGAATGTATCTTTTCAGATCATTTGCCATGCATACAGAAGTATATACATTTTAAAGTTTATAGATAGAATCACATTGTTGTAAAACTTGCTTGTCTAGATAACCTTTTAGTCGGTAATTACAGTTTGTTTTTCAGTGGGTAAAGAATATATGCAGAGGAACTGTTGTTTAATTATTGTCTTTCTTTTTTTTTTTTTTTTTTTTTTTCTTTTTTGACATGGAGTCTCGCCCTGTTGCCAGGCTGGAGTGCAGTGGCAAGATCTTGGCTCACTGCAACCTCCACCTCCCAGGTTCAAGCTATTTTCCTGCCTCAGCCTCCTGAATAGCTGGGACTACAGGTGTATGCAACCACGTCCAGCTAATTTTTGTATTGTTTCACCATGTTGGCCAGGATGGTCTCAATCTCTTGATCTCGGTGATCTGCCTGCCTCGGTCTCCGAAAGTGCTGGGATTACAGACATAAGCCACCACGCCCAACCAGTTTATTCTCTTTCAGTGGTACTTTTTTTTTGTTAACAAGAAGTTATCTGTTTAATATTTGTGCTATATAGTATCATATTTCTCTGATGTAAATTCTTTCCCCCAACCTATCTTTAAACACCATTATTTATCTTAATTCTTTTAATTGTCTTACATTCTTTGAGAAAGTGTCACACCATAGTAAAACTTACTGTATGCATCAAAATATGATTTCCTTTAATAAAACAAGTGTTTTGTAAACTTTAGGATGCAGATGGAAAGTGATACATTATTTTGATTTTTGGCTCAGATAGTGTATCGCTATGTCATTTGTAAGAAATCCTGGCTAAGGAATTTTTGATTCTCTTTGAATATCACTCATCTCACTAAAACTGCTCTGTGAATTTGAATACTAGTGAGCCCACAAAGACAGATTTTTAAATACCTTGGATAATGTTTACTTAGAAACAGATTACAGAAGGCAGAAGGTCGCCATTTTTGAATAGCTCCCTAGCCAGTCATTTGCAGATGAAAATTAATTATATTTTACATTTGTAATTTTAAAAACTGTAAAAACTCCTCTGAGCTTCACAGTACAGTAATTTTATTTTAACTTGGCATCTCCATTTTATAACTGAGAAAACACTCAAGAAGTTGCTCAAAGTAATAGGGCTTTTAAATAGAAAAGCTGGGATTAGAACTCAGTGCTTATCCTTTAATCATGACATTCTTAAATGAAAGTATACAGAGAGATCCAAGATAGCTGATCACTAGCAGCTCGGGATTGTAGCTCCCAGTTAAAGTGCAGAGAACGAGAGGACGCTGCACTTTCAGACGAATTTTTGTTGCTCACGGACCAGGAGATTCCCAGCGGAGGAGCCCCACGGGTCGCCAGTGCAACTCTTGTGGCCAGTGTGGCGGTTTTGCCAGCGCTTCGGTGTGGCGGTTCTTGCTGCAGAGTAAACAGGACTGGGTCCCATTTTGGTCAACGTTTGGAGCTCTGGGAAGGCAGAGTTGCCTATTCAGCTGATTGAAGGACGGACTCAAGAAGAAAGCCAGACTGGAGATTCCCAGGCAGAAAATCACCACAATCTTAAAGCTGCTGTTTTAGCCAGTGCAGTGGGTTGCTCAGATTCCGGTGCTGGGAATCAACAAGTTGGACGTCCACTCAGAAACCTAATTAGAAAGTCTGTAATTATAAAGACCACAGATGGATAAATTTATAATGAAGGGAAGAAACTAGCCTAAAAAGGCTGAGAATACCCAAAATCAGAACGCCTCTCCCTCTACAGGGGATCACAGTTCCTCATCAGCAACAGAACAAGGCCTGATGGAGAACGAGTGTGTTCCATTAACAGAAGTAGGCTTCAGAAGGTGGATGGTAAGAAACTTCTGTGAGTTAAAAGAACTTGTTCTAACCCAATGCAAAGAAACTAAGAACTTTGAAAAAAGGTTTGACGAAATCCTAATGAGAATAGATAATTTAGAGAGGAATATAAATGAATTAATGGAGCTGAAAAACACAACACAAGAACTTCGCAAGCTATGCACAAGTTTTAACAGCGGAATTGATCAAACAGAAGAAAGGATATCAGAGGTCAAAGACCAACTTAATGAAATAAGACAAGATTAGAGAAGACAAGATTAGAGAAAAAAGGATAAAAAGGAATGAGCAAAGTCTCCAAGAAATATGGGACTATGTGAAAAGACCTAATCTACGTTTGGTAGGTGTACCTGAATGTGACGAAGAGAATGAATCTGAGCTGGAAAATATTCTTCAGGATATTATTCAGGAAAACTTTCCCAACCTAGCAAGGCACGATAATATTCAACTCCAGGTAATACAGAGAACACCACAAAGTTATTCCTCAAGAAGACCAACCTCAAGGCACATAATCGTCAGATTCACCAGGGTTGAAATGAAGAAGAAAATACTAAGGGCAGCCAGAGAGAAAGGTCAGGTTACCCACAAAGGGAAGCCTATCAGACTCACAGCAGATCTTTCAGCAGAAACCCTACAAGACAGAAGAGAGTGGGGGCCAATATTCCACATCCTTAAAGAAAAGAACTTTCAACCCAGAATTTCATATCCAGCCAAACTAAGCTCACAAGCGAAGGAAAAATAAAATCTTTTATGAACAAGCAAGTACTCAGAGATTTCATCACCACCAGGCCTGCTTTACAAGAGCTTCTGAAAGAAGCACTACACATAGAAAGGAACAACCAGTATCAGTCTTTCCAAAAATATACCAAAAAGTAAAGAACATTAACATAATGAAGAATTTACATCAACTAATGGGCAAAACAGCCAGCTAACATCAAATGGCAGTATTAAATTCACATGCATTGTTATTAATCCTAAATTTAAAGTGACTAAATCCCCCAATCAAAAGACACACCCAAAACCCATCGATATGCTGCATCCAGACCCATCTCACATACAAGGAAACACAAAGACTGAAAACAAAGGGATGGAGAAAGATTTACCAATCAAATGGAGAGCAAAAATAAATAAATAAATAAAAAGCAGGAGTTGCAATTCTTGCCTCTGATAAAATAGACTTTAAAGCAACAAAGATCAAAAGAGGCAAAGAAGGACCTTACATAATGGTAAAAGGATCAATGCAACAAGAAGAGCTAACGATCCTAAATATATACACACCCAATACAGGAGCACCCAGATACATAAGACTTATAAGAGACTTAGACTCCCACACATTAATAGTGGGAGACTTCAACATCAATATTAGACAGATCAACGAGACAGAAAATTAACAAGGATATCCAAGACTTTAACTCAGATCCAGAACAAGTAAACAATTAACATTTATAGAACTCTCCACTTTAAATACACAAAATATACACTCTTATCAGTACCACATCACACCTACTCACAGGTTTAAATGAAATATTGGTTGGCTGCTTGTTTGTTATTTTCTTCCCTCACTTTTTTTTTCCTGTTTCCATTATTAAGTATAAAAGAGGTTTTCAATACCCATTTTTAGACTGCATTCTAGCCCGGGCAATAAAGCAACACTTCCGTTCTCTCTCCCTCTTCCTCTTCCTCTTTCTTCCTCTCCTTCATTCTTTTTTTTTTTTCCTTTCTTTCTCTCTTTCTTTAAAAAAAAAAAAAAGAAAAAAGAGAAAGTATACAGCTGAAAGTAATCCCTCCACTCCACTGAAGTGAACTGGGGTAGGCACTTGTGTTTTGAGGGTGGTTGGACCAATCTGAAACAGGTTCTCTGGGAGGCTTGAGTGGGTCTGTGGTTTCTGGGAGAGGCCATGTGTGCTTGTATGTGTGCAAGGGTGACTTTACTCCTGGATTCTTGCATGTTTTTGAACTGTTCTTCATTGACAGACTCCTGAAGAGGCTGTAGAATGCCATTCTTGGAGACTCAGGACTTGAATCCCAGACCCCCTTTAAGGTAGGACCCATACACAAGGTGTGGTTTAGAAACCAGTCCAGAGAATAGGAGCACTATTTGAGAGCACTCTGTGGGATGCCAAAATCACTTCAGAAACTTCCCAAAAGATTCTAAAAGCCTTTGAAATGCAGACATTCATTAGCTATTACAATGTACCCAGTGAGAGGAAGGAGGAGTCTGCCTCCTTTGCTGCAGAGGAGGCCTATAGTGAATAAACAGAGGAGTGGAAATAGAACTTGAGCTTTCTGGTGACTTAGTCACTAAGACATGCACACTTTTAAAAATGTATGTAATCACCATTGAAGTAAAACTTTGGTTATCTCTCAGTGGCCTGATAGGTATGTTATTCTCATCTGGGTGTTTATTTCCTTGTAATTGTTGGAAAAGCAGATCATGGACTTATTTGCCTGGCATTACAAATCTCCCTGGAAGAGTAGACTTAGGGTAAATCCTGTGAGATGTAGATTCAGAAGGATCTACAGGCTGGGCTTAGCCAAGTTAAAATCCATAGGTGAAACTAAACATGTTACCTACAACGATTAGAAAAATAAGTGCTATGGTTTCATAGAACCATTTGTAGAAATGAATGGCACCACAGTCCAAAGGTCAGGATTTTCAGCAACTTGCAGCAGAAAACTTACACTTAATGAAATGTCTTCACTTAGGGTTTTTGTGTCAGTTAATGACTGAGGTCTTTTGTTTCTTTTGTTTTCCTCATGGCAATAAAGTTGAAATTTAGCAAGCTTTCAAAATGAAATTTCTCATAGATTTTATAACCACAGGTTTTAAGTTTTCAACACCTAAATGTGGAACAGAACAATTGAAAACTTAGGGGGAGGGGAAAAGAGAGTTGAGGTCACATGTGGTGTGTATCAAGAGTCAGTGTAAATCAGGAAGGTGTGGTAAGGGGGATTTCCTGTGTTACAGACTTGCTGAAATCATGCTCCCCCACCTTCCATCAGTAAATTCCAAATGAAGGTACTGGCCTTTCTGACACCTTGCAGCGGTAGTTTGCCACTTACCTGACTGAGTTTCCTTCAGAAAGCTTCAAGGAAACTCAGATTGTCAGGTAAGGGGCAAACTTGTCCTTGGAGATAATGTATTCTTTGATTGTGGCAGTTACCTACCTGTAGAATGGGGTCAGCCTAGTACATCTGAGTCTATTCTTTTTATTCCTGCTGTCGCATTCATTTCTGGGTTTCCAGGTACTATAATAACTACCATTTGTTGATCACTTAAGTGTCGCAAGTACTGGACCAAGAACTTTTCAAAGGTGATCAGATTTGGTCTTCATACCCCTATGAGGCAGGTACTATTAATTGTCCCATTTGTTAGTAGCTTACAGAAGTTAATCACTGGTTCCCAACTCTAGCTGTCCATTAGTATTAGCTAGGGGAGCTTTCAAAACTATTGGGGCCAGGCACAGTGGCTAACGCCTGAAGTCACAGAACTTTGAGAGGTTAAACCAGGAAGATTGCTTGAAGCCAGGTGTTTGAGATCAGCCTAGGCAACATAGGGAGACCCCATCTCCAAAAAAATAAAAAAATTAGCTGGGCTTGGTGGCACACATCTGTAGTCCTATCAACTTGGGAGGCTGAGGTAGGAGGATTGCTTTAGCCCGGGAGTGTGAGGCTGCAGGGAGCCATAATCATGTCACTGCACTCCCGCCTGGATGACAGAGTGAGACCCTGTCTCAAAAGCAAACAAACAAACAAAGAGCAGCAGCAGCAGCAGCAGCAGCAGCAGCAGCAGCAGCACACCACCACCACCACCACCACCAACATTGGGTCCTAGGTCAATTCAATCAATCTCTAGGGCAGAGCTTAGGCATTGTGATTTAAAAAAATCTCCCCAGGTGGTTCTAAAGTGCACACCAGGGTAAGAACCTCTGGGTGAAGTGATTTGAACTTCAGCTGGTCTGTAGTGGAGTTCAAATCTAGAGCCCAACTATAGCCAGCTTGAATCTAAAGCCAGGCACAGCCAGCTCTTACAGCAGAAATGCCTTAACTTTTAATGTGCATTTGAGTTGTCAGTGGATCTAGTAAGAAAAAAGATGCTGAATTTCTAACAAACTTCCAGGTGATGCCCTCCTCCTGGCCCCCGGAACCAGGAAGAGGGCATCACGTGAAAGTTTGGAACAGTAAAGCTAATGTTAGTACTATGTTAGCCAGAGGAGAAAATATTCGCTGAAAGGCAGAAAAAACATGGGGAGTTGGGAAGGGTTGCTCATGCATTTTACTTTAGTGATGATGGCAGGGATCACAGGATGATTATATAAATTTCTCTGTGTTTTCCTAAGGCTATCATAGGCTTTCCTAGGGTTTAAATAAACTGTTACGGGTTATTTTTCTATTCTTGAGAATGCTTGGAACTTGAAGACTGTGGTGAAGCTAGCAAAGCTTCACTTGTTCAGGTGTTTTAATCTGTTAGGAAAAGATGTGATTGTAATTAATAAATTGGTCAGTTATCAAACCCTTTCTTCCTGTTCTTAAAGGGGGCTGAAACAGGAGTTCAGATAGGTGAGAAATGATAAGATAACCATACATTTTGACAGTTACATGTTCATTCAATTAAGCACCTACTATGTAGCAGCATTACAATATGCTGTCCTTATAGGATACAAAAATGAATGAGACATTGTCTTGTCCTGACAGAACTTACACTTTAGTGGAAAAAATGACATATAGAGTAGATAATGATATAGTAGAAATATGAACAGGCAATTTATAGAGGAAGAAGCAGTAAACTGTACTTGAA